GTCCTGTGTCTTTTCTGTGAAGTCTCTCAGACCCGTGGAGTCCAGAGATCTCTCTTCCATATGAACCTTAGCCCCCGGACAAGGACAACTGGAGTGCCCCATTTTCTCCAGAGATCAAACACACAGTACACATGGTTTGTTCTGGCTCAGATTGGGTTCCTCTGCAAATATGTGAGCACCTGTCACATGTCGGGCCCTATTCTTGGAGATGAAACTGTGAACAAAACTGGTAGGTCTCTAACCTCCCAGAGTTACATTTATGAGCCTGACACAGGCAAGAGATGAACAATGTTTCATGAAAATATAAATGCTATGAAGAATATACAATAGAGGGTATGGTAGAGAGTGATTAACAGGGACTATTTTTAGGTTAGTTGGTCAGGAACTTAAAATTTTTATTTATTGATTGATTTAGAGGGGGTGGGAGAAGAGAGGGAGAGAGAAACATCGATTTGTTTTTTCACTTATCTATGCATTTATTGGTTGAGTCGTGTATGTGTCCTGACTGGGGATCGATCCTACAACCTTGGCGTTATCAGAAAGACACTCTAACCAACTGAGCTACCTGGCCAGGGCCTTGGTCAGGAACCTTATAATGTTGATATTTAAGCTGAGATTTATATGACAAGGCAGAGCCATTGGGGATCTGGAGGGTTGCCCGTTCAAAGGCCCTGAGGAAATAAAAAGAGACCAGGGGCTGGAGTGCAGTGTGCTAGGGGATGATAAGGATGGATTAGTGGAGAGGACATGCAAGGTTTGCCAGCTTCTATAAGGAGTTCAGATTTTATTCTTTTTTATTTTATTTATTTATATTTTAAAATATGTCTTTATTGATTTCAGAGAGAGGAAGGGAGAGAGAGAGATAGAAAGAAACATCAGTGATGAGAGAGTCATTGATTGGCTGCCTCCTGCATGCCCCCTACTGGGGATCGAGCCCCAAACCCGGGCATGTGTCCTGACCGGGAATCGAACCGCAATCTCCTGGATCATAGGTTGATGCTCAACCACTGAGCCATGCCAGTTGGGCCAGGTTTTATTCTTTTTAAAAAATATATGTTATTGATTTTCAGAGAGAGGGGAAGGGAGAGGGATAGAGAGATAGAAACATTGATAAGAGAGACATTGATTGGCTGCCTCCTGCATGTCCCTGACTTGGGATCAAGCCTGAAACCCAGGCATGTGCCCTGACCAGGAATCAAACCGGTGACCTCTTGGTTCATGGGTCAACACTCAACCACTGAGCCACCCCAGCCAGGCCAGATTTTTATTAATGTAGTGGAAGATTTAAGGGAGTGATATAATCTGATGTACTTAAAAAAAATTCTGACTGCTGTTTGGAAGCTGAGAGTAGAGCAGACACCAGGTAAGAGGGTGCGGGTGCAGTCCTGGAGAAAAGGGAAGGGGCAGGGTAAATGAATGGGGAACATTTCAGACCCAAGGTATCTTTTGGAGGCAGAGCTAGCAGACTTGCTCATGGATTGGATGTGGGTATGAAAGGAAGGAAGGCAGGACAACTTCTAGGCTTTTGGCTTGAGTTAACCAAGAGGATTGAGGTATTTTCTGAGATGGGAAACACTAGGAAAGAAACAGGTGTGGAGTACAATAGGATTCAAGAGTTCAGTTTGTCCTTTTAAACATACTGTATTAGATACCAAAATAAGTTGGATATTTGGATCTAGATCTCAGTGGAAAGGTTGGGATTATTACATATATGAAAGCAGCCACAAGATCACATTGGGAATAGGGGTGGTGGTGGTGGTGGTGGAGGTGGAGGGGGTGTGTGTGTGTGTGTATGTGAGGGGGTAAGGAAGAGAGAGTTAAGAAGCTGGGGCCCTCCATCCTTTAGAACTGGGTGGAGGAGAGGAAACAGTGATCTAAACAGTGAAGAAGTGGCCAGGGAAGGAGGATGACCAAGAATGTGGTCAGGAAAGCTAAGCTGTTTTGGAAACCAAGCTTCTAAGAGCACATTCATATAGAGAAGGTCCTTTCATTCTAAACTCATGTTGGTTTGAGTTGAGTTGTTTAGCTTCCAGAGGTTCTTGACTTCTCTTATCTTGCCTGCTCCGTCTGGGTACAGAGTATTGTTAGGTGATCAAGTTGATATATTCACTGGCCTATCTTGTCTTTTAATGTTTTTATTCTACCATCTGGGTACCCTTTACATGGTGCCCAGCTGCAGGGGTAGATGCCAAGAATAGCAACGATGCCAATTAACATTTGTGTAATGCTTGATAGCTATAAACATAGTTTATTTATTTATTTTAATCCTCACGAGAGGATATTTTTCCATTGCTTTTCAGAGAGAGTAGGAGGGAGGGAGGAAGGGAGGGATGAACATCGATGTGAGAGAGACACATTGATTACTTGCCTCCCACATGCGCTGTGACCAGGGCCAGGGATCAAGCTTGCAACCGAGGTACTTGCCCCTGGCCAGAACTGAACCCGGAACCCTTTAGTCCATGGGCCGGCGCTCTAACCACTGAGCAGAACTTGCCAGGACCTAAACATAGTTTTATACTCACCACCTGACTGGGTAAAGACCAGGTGAGAATCCCTTACTTAGGAATTAAGTCCTTGGCTATGATGTGACTTTGACCTGACTTTTGAACTTAGTCCCAGCATACCTGCCCACAAGTCCCTGGCTTCAACCCAGTTGATGGCCTTGCCCTTTTCTGTCCGGAATATTAGCCCTTATTGTACATGTGCTTCAGGTCACGTTCCGTTTGGGGACTTCTGGACTTCCAGCAAAGTGAGTTCCCATTTTGGCATCTCTAAGGGCTGCTACCACTCACTAGATTTAATTCTGTGCCGATCTCCATTAACTCTGTGTCCTGTCTGCCACTTAATTTTAATTGATGTTTAATTAATGTTTGCTTTTTAATGCTTTGCTTAGGCTGCTAGCTGTCCAAGGGCAAAACCATGCCTTAGAAGACTTCTCCCCGACCACAGTGCCTGGCAGTGTCATCTCCTGTCCCTGTGAGGGGTTTAACATCTGATTGGAATTTTTCTCCTCTGGTGCCCTTGTGAGGTAGGACAGTCAGTTCCTACAAATGAGGAAACTGAGGAAGGAAGTAGGCCTTGGTCACGCAGCAGTTAGTGACAGGACTGGGACCAACATTCAGATTACCAACTCCCATTTCTAACTTTCGCTCAGCCCGTACTGCCTAAACAAGACTGTTCATTGTTTACTGTAGTCACCTCCATAAATTATGCCGCTTTTCCATCAGTGTACAATGTGCCCCAGACTTTGGACTGAATCCCCAAAGGCCATCAGAGCCTCACCTGCACTATGGCCTCTTTCCTTGGCCCTCACAGGTCAGAGGCAAATGCTCAGTATTCTGCCTGGGTGATTGGAGTGGCTCTCCTTCATAGCATCAGTCCCCACAGGACTGAGAACAGCATTTTCTGGAGCCCGTAGAGAGGATTTGAGGGGAGTCCCTGCAGAACTGACAGGACCTGGTGGTGTCAAGAAGACCTGGATGACTTCTAGTTCCTTCTGCTTCCTTTAGGCCAAGCCTTGTGGGGGTTGCTTGTTCCCTGTGATGGAAGTTGGAGAGCCTGTGTGACACAGTGCATTCTGAATGTCACCTGTTGATTTGTCCCCTGTTAACAGACAGAGCCAGAGCCTGGGACTTTGTGCAATATCTCTTGCATGCTCCCCTATAACTATTAGACCTGTGCTAAGGATCCTGCTCTCGGCTTTTTTCTATTTAGCCCTAGAGAAACACAAAACATTGCACTTATTTAATACACCCATTGCACCAAAGGTATCGGAATCTGTAGCAACCAGAAATTCCCACAGAACCAGGAGTACTAACAGATAAGACCTAAGAAGTTACAGGAGCTATGGCCGTGCTAACTGCAGAGAGAAATGCCAGCATCAGACCTCCGTGCTGGAGTTGAAGATGAAGCCCCTCTTCCTCCTGCCCAGCTGTCCTCAGGCTGGCAACAGCCCTGCGCTGACGGGTTATTTAGATAGTGCTATATTTAACATTTCTGGCTGGAGAGAGCTTTTTTTGCTATGAGAAGCGGGAATCTACAGTGGTCTAGCTCATTCATTCAACCAACACGTACGGAAACACTTTCCGGGCCCTATCCTGTGTGCACAGACATACAGACAAATGACCTTTTATTCTTATAGAAGGAAGGGAAACGTTATGCAAGTGACTGCAGTACAGTTAAAGGCCATTAAAGGGAAAACACAGAGGAGAGAGACCACTCAGGCCAACAGAAACAAAAAGGCTTAACAAAGGCAGTTGCATTTGGACCTGAAGGGTGAATCGGAGCAGGGCAGGTGGAGGAAGGCAGGCAGGTGTTCCGGGCCGAGGAAGGTGCCTGAGCAGAGGCGCGCTGACAGGAAAGCGCGGGAGGGAGGTGTTTGGAGATGCAAGCTCCGTGCGGCTGGAGTGGGGGAATGCTGGTGGATTCAGTGTCAGGAGTGTGGGCGGAAAAGTCATTCGGGCCAGGTTGTGAGCGGTCTTGTGTGAACTTTATCAGGTAAACAACATGGACATTTTGAAACTGGGGAACAGCTTCACGATGGATGAGGGTTATTTTTGTTTTGTTTTGTTGTTGTTGTTTTAGGATAACTCTAGAACAAAGTTTCTCAGCCTTGGCACTGTTGGAATTGGGGGCTGTGTAATTCTTTGTTTTGGGGACTGTCCTGTGCATTTAGAGTGTTTAGCGGCACCCCTGGCCTCTGCCTACTAGTAGCCATCAGCACCCACTCCCCTCCCACCCCAGTGTGACCACCAAAAATGCCTCCCCTCAGGACAGTCTTGTCGCTCTACCCTCACCCCAGTTGAAAAGTGCTGTTCCAGAAGCAAGCAGTGTAGAAAATCAGTGGAGTCGGGAGAGACTGGAGGCAGGAAGACCGAGTGAGAGTAAACGATAGTATTTCCTACAACAGATGAACTGAGGCAGCAGAGCAGGACTCCAGAGTGGATGCTGACTTCGAGGGAGATGCTAACAGCATTCGGCATGTTCTTCGTGCCTGAATCAACAGGTCTTCGTGGCTGATTGGAATTCCTCGTTCAAGCTTGAATATTCTGTGGGGCTTGAGGAGATGGAAGGAGCTCCGGCTGAGAAGTTGGCTCTGTTTCTGGGTCCATTCTTCTTTAGGCGCGTGAGTTGGCCAAGTCCCTTGCCCTCCCTGGATCTCTGTGTCTTTCATGTGTAAAATGCTTCCAAGAACACACCCGTGCTTCCTGTCTCGTGGAATTCTAAGGCTTCACGTCTGTGAAAGCCCATTGGGAAGTGCAACACGTTTCCTAAATGCACAGTACTTTCCTAGCGGTACAACACGGAGGAGTGAGGGCAGTGGGGATTCAGATGAGCAGGGACACTGCCTCGTCCAGCTGTGGGTTAGTGGGCGATGAGGCTGGACAGCACTGAGCTCATGTGAAGCCCGTGACTATGGGGATGGGGTGTTGTGACTCGGCAGGGTGGAATTTGCTGGCATTTTGGTGATTAGCATCTCAGCTGTGAGGGTGGAACGTGATGCTATTCGTCATCCTCTGTCAGCAGTGAAAACAGACTCTGGAGCTGAGTGTTAACCAAAATATGAAGGTGCTGTGTTAAACACAAGCAGATGGTGGATACAGCAGGAGAGGGAGGACCCATAAGTGGTCTGTTTTAAACATCTAATGATTATTTATTACTAGGGAGCTTTTCTCTTTTCGCCTGTTCCCCACTGGTTGTCAGGGCACTTTTTAACTCTGGAGAGCAGTGAGCTCTGGGGCACTGTTTCTCTCACCTGCTAAAGAAGGGTAGACCCTTGTCCACCTAGAAACAAAGCACTTGAACTGGTCGGCTCCTACAGTCTGTGATGAGAGAGAGGCTTTCTGTTGAGTCGTAAACCATGATCTGTCCATGGATGTATTGGAGGTCAACATTAATGGTTTTTACTAGAGTTAGCCCTCTTACTTGGAGACAGGGAGATGACTGAAGAATAAACACAGACGTAGTGTTCAGAGCTTCTTTTAGACCGGCTTTCTCACTGGGGAAACCAAGGCCTGGAGAAGTTGAATGATTTGATATGGCCCTTCTGTGATCTAGATGCCAAGGGAGGTCCGTGCCCCTGGGTAACCTGCTTACCAGACCAGCACACCTTGCACACCAAGATGCAGTTGCCTCTTGCTGGACTGTTCCAGCTCTATGTTCTCGATCATCTTGGAAAAAGTAAATGTGACTCTGCCTGTGTTCAAAAGTGGGGTGATTGCTTTTCTTTCCTTTCATCTTTTTGTACATTTTTATTTTAAGATGGGCACTGCCTGGGTTGCTTACCTTTGCTGGAGGTTTTGCAGTTATTGCTTTGTGATGTTTCCCAGGCGCTCATCTGTGCTGTGCTGGGTCTCAGCACAAGGACCCTGGGGAAGGATAGAGCTGTCTACCTGGATGCATCCCTGTTTCAACACCTAAATGGCACTGGAAAGGATACAGTGTTACTCAGGCTTTGTCCAGGAACCTGGTGATTGAGCACCTTGCCTGTGTACCTATTATAAGATCTGGGACGCACATCTATTTTCATACCCACCGTTAATCCACTAAAGGGTTTGCCAAAAGCTTATTGGTGATCTAGCAAGTCAGGCATTTGTATGAAAGTGAGAATTTTGTTGGAGAGTGGGTCTTACTCAGGTTGCCTCAGAGTTTTCGAGCTCCTCTGGATTTAAAATGTTTCCAGTTTAAAAGTGTTGTATATATATCTTTCCTAGCATGTGCTTGGTAAGGAAGACAGCACCAGCAAGACCATCCTAGAAAATCTGTGGCTGTTTGACAGCAGATTTGTTTGATATTAACACTGGATAGAAGTCTCCAAAGAATGATTCATTTCCAAACAGGCAGAATGCATTATTGATGACGGCTGCTCAGTAATTCTTCTCAGCACCAGTATGGAAATCAGGGGTATGGCTTTAAGGTCTTTGGTTAATGATGATTTAAGCAGCAGATGCTCATTGAACTTCTTAGCTCTGAAGTCACAGTCAGGTTCATGGCTGCTACTCAGAGTGTGTGTTGTTTGTGGAACATTTTTTCCCTTTTCCCTGAGGTCCCAGAACCTTAGATGCTATTACCGTGCCTGTTTGTCAGTGTACCCGGACTGAACATTCCCTCTTCGTTCTTCGTGTTAAACGTTTCCTCTCAGCTCGCTAAAACTCCAAATAAGCCCCACATGGCAAAATACAGTGGGGGGAAAATAGGAAGACCTGATTTAGAATGAAATAAAATAATACATGATTCAGAAGCTGTGGAAGCATGTCACTAAGGATATACTGTGGGAATGGCAGTTGAGCTGTCTGGAATGATGAAGTACCCAGCAAATGAAGTCAGAGGAGTATTCAGGGGCAGAATTACAAGAACAGGTTATTTCAGGGTAGGGAGAGTGTTTGCATGAGGACACAAATGAAGGACTGGGAGCATGCACATTGGAAGATTTGACTAAACTGTCCAAGCGAGGCTTCCCTTTCCTTATCTATTAATCTGTAAGTACCCATCTTTTAATTATGTGGTTTGGACCGTGTATCTCCTCATGTTTAAAACCCATGCATACATTTCCATTGGCCATGCAACAATATAAAAAACCTGTCACATGGCTCCGGAAAACCTCTTGCAGGTCTCCCCAGTGGCATTTTGAGCCCTTTCCTCAGCATCCATCCCACGCATACTGGCCGCCTTTCATCTCTTCAGCGAGCACTTGCCTTCCCACCCAGGCTTGTCACACAGATAACCTCTCAGCCTAGAACACTCTTCTCTCCCTACCGTGCCTTGCCGACCTCTTGTCCATCTAGGGTTCAGCCCGAGTCTTGCTTTTTCAGCAGAGTTCCTTTCCTCATGACCCAGACTAGGTTAGGTCCCTGTTGTAGGCTGTGAACTTCTGTGCTGTTCTTTTCAGTAGATTAATTGCATGATGTGATCTGACACCCTTGAAGATAGGGACTTGTCTTTTCCCCCCACACTGTGTTCCAGCACCTTGCGCAGTGCCTGGCATGTGGCAAGGTGTTCAGTGAGTACCTGGGAATGAATGCATGAATGAACCAGAGGCCGTGCTCCAGTTGGTGGACCTTGGAACCTACAGGGCACATGCAGCAGTTGGAGAATGTTAGTAAATCGGCCTCAAAAATGAAGTGTTTGAATACTGGGGGATGGGGACTGGTGGGCTTTATCCTGTAAAAGGAAGCCTAAGAGCTGGCTTGAGCCCCAAATGCAAGCATGTAAGGCGTCTTAAGTTTGAAGACAGGTGGTCTCTTAAAGACAGAGCAAGAGAAAACTAAGCTTCACTCATGTGTCCAGATGCAAGGGGCAGTTTCTCCAAAATCTTTCCTCAGAAAAGAGTGGGGTCCCTGCGCATTCTCTCAGTTACTTAATTTTGATCAGTGAAGTACTGTTTGCAGAGGATAGCTTTGCCTGAACTGACTCCAGGCAGTGCTGGCTTTGGTTGCTCAGAGAGGTCACATGATGGAACAGGTTTTAAAATTTCAAATTAGAAGCAAACAAACTGATGTGATGAATATTTCTAGGGTTGTGACTTTCTAATAAGTGTTACCGTGATTGTGAACTGTTAAGACTTTTTCTTTGGGGGAAAGCAATATACTAGTTAGTCTTCAGTTGTCGGGACCAGGAGTGTATGTGTATATACCTAACAGGACAAAAGAGAAAACCACTACCCATTGATGGCAGCGTATATAGACTTAAAAAGTTGGGGTATTTCAAAAAGCTTAGGTGGGAATGAAGATGGTATGTTCTGGAAAACTGTATTAAATGACTTAAAGATTTGTAATATGCCTGTGGATTGCTTAATTCATATACTGAATTGCTCTGTACAGAGAGAATTTATAGTCCGGGAGCTGTAGTCATGTTGCTGGAAGTAGGATTTCAGCAAAGCTTCAGCTTCTTGATAGGATCCAGACGTACATTTAGCTGCATGAAATGTATTAGCTTTGAGTAAATCTTCTTTTTTAGCTTCTGTGGCAAGCAGGTTAATGGATTTAACATTGCAGCCTTATAAAACTTACTTGCCGCTCACATACCCCTTTTTATACAGGGACTTTCAGTGATCTTTCTAAAACTTCAACATCAACACCTTGCTTTGTAGCTATTTCTAAGCCTCGGGTATCCCTGCAGCTCCATCATCAACAAGTACTGCAGGTATAAACAGGCTGGGTAAAGGGACTAAGCAGTGCTCACCAAACACCAAGCTCTTCCCATCTTGTCAGTCTGTCACTTGAGGACAATGCTGCCTCCTCTACCAATAACGTCTGCTGCAGGGCAGTAAATAGGTAAATTTTGCCACCAACAGCCACGTGGAGTCTTGGTTCCTCATTAGCTTCAAACAGATATAGAAGAATGTGGGTCAGGACATCATGGTGACTGATGATGTAATCAGACATCAGAATAAGTTGAATCTTTTCTTAAAAGTCTGGGTTAAGATGATATACAGCTATAAGCATGTAAGATAGCAAATATCAAAAATACAATTGTGCTGGCCAGTGCCAGAAATATGGAGATGGATCTGCCATTGGCGTGTTTCACTTCTGTTTCATTTTAATAGGAAGTATTGGGTTTTAGTACAACTTTGCTATTTAACTGCATTTTTTTAAAAAAAATATCTTTATTGATTTCAGAGAGAGGAAAGGAGAGTGAGCGAGAGAGATAGAAACATTGATGATGAGAGAGTCATTGATCGGCTGCCTCCTGCATGCCCCCAACTGGGGATCGAGCCTACAATCCAGGCATGTGCCCTGACGGGTAATCGAACCCCAATTGTCTGGATCCTAGGTCGACGCTCAACTGCTGAGCCATGCCCAGCCGGGCAGCTGTGCATTTAGTATGTATAGCATGCAGCTTGCTTCTCTGCTTTTTTTGCATTCTCCTTGACCCCAAGGATGTGGAGAGGCTTTTTGCTCTCCCAGTCTCTCTCTATTAAGTTTCAGCTCTTCCTCATCAAGAAAAACACAAAGAGCAAATTCTGAAGAGATCTGGATTGGGCCTCAGGAATCTGCCTTATTGGCCCAGAAATTGTGGTTTTTCAGTTACTTAGTTGTGGATAAACAGTATATTTACATATATATAATGTAATGTAACATATAATTCCTTCTGGCATTTAGGGAAAAGAGAAGGTATTATGGTCCA